ATACTCCTACTATATGAAGATCGGTGGCGACGGCTAAGCTGAGTGTAGATCGGAGCTTGCGAGGATGAAGGGAGTCATTGAGATTTAAGCTGTGCAATCCACAATCGCCGACAACCGACCTGTGAGTCTTGGGGCTTGACTACTTGAGAGTTCAAAAATGGTCAAATGGGAGTTTTTGAGAGTCTAAGATGCTGATGATGTGCAAGTGTGCAGCTACGAGTCTGTGAGGGTGTGAATTATTGAGGTGGAGAGCTGAACTCTAGGCCTATGGAAGTGGATCCCATGTGATGAACACTGGACAGATGGAGTCCATCAATCAATACAAAATAATAAGAATGGTTAACTGGGTGGACCGTGGGGAGACCCGGAGGCAGGAGAGAAATATTTTTTTAAAAAAAAAAAATTCATTCAAATATTTCAGTTATTTTGGTACTAACCGAATTATTTTTTATGACATTGAACCGAACACCGATAATCAAAATAACCGAATAAAATAACTCAAAAAAAATAAAAACCGAAATAATCGAATTATGTTCGGTTCGGTTTTGCTTACCCTTAGGCACGAGATCTTTCGCTTTTTCTAGGCCCGTTCACTAATTAATGAATACAAGTTATTCTTCAGTTCTTAAATGTAAGACTTATTTTGTAGTGTAAATTATATTATAAAATATATCTTATATTTAGAATCAGAATAGTAATATTTATACCCTTGTATTTCCATTCTTTTGAACAGGTGTTCATTTTGACACATCCGCACATACACTCTAACTCCCACAGTGCCAAGTGATTGCATATTGGTAGTGTCCGGAAGAGTTTCCGAAGTCGTCGTCGTGGCATGTGAAGACGAAGAAAGTCTTCGCCGCCCCTCCATTTAATTAACTTTCTTCTCTCTCACAATTGTACAAAATGTCACAAAAGAACGGCGTCAACGTTGATTTAATTTCCACACTCCATAAAAAAAAAAAACTATTATTAATTTAAGTTATGAAACCTGCAAACAACTTCCTGACATATTTTATATTTGTCACTGGAATTTCAGGAGAAATGCTTGGTGATGGGACCACATTCTTAATATAATGTGTCAGAGTTTTTTCTTAATATTATTTCTACTCCTCAGAACTAGATAATTAATTTAAAAATATTAAAAAATTAATTAAATTGATTATTTATCATAAATGTGTGTTGATTTTCCTAAACTGTTATTTTTAATTATGTGTATTAGATTATTAGAATTATTCCTTGATGGAAAACCCTTACATTTAAGAAAGATAAGTTACAAAATAAATTAAGATCTTATATTTAACATCAAATTCAGTCCCCAACTAACTCCGGTAAAAAAAAAAATATTAGACTTAGTGTTAATACCCAATATTGGTATTGTAAAAAATTAAATGTAATGTGTAAACATTTGTTAATGTCTAATAATTTAAGGGACTATGATGGAGTATTAAGATAATTAATTGATTAATTAATTTAAGAAAGCATATTACGAGCAAGAGGAAGAGGTTAAGGAAACGCACGCCTTGGTCAACACATGTTCTTAGGAAATTTTGCTTCACTTTCACGTCGTATAAAGAAAGATAGATTGAAAGACACACGCCGGAGGAGTAAGCAAAACCCTACAATCAAGGGCCTTAATGATTAGTCCCAAATGATTTTATTTTTGTTCCAATAGTTATTATTTAAAAAAAATTAACGTTTCAAACTTAAAAAATATTTATAATTTTTAAATATCTTAATTTCAGTATTTTTTAAATAAAATTATCATGATTATAATTAGAGCACTAGAAAAATACCCTATAAAATTAGAAGATTAAAATATAATATTATTTAAAATTAAATCACTAATTTTTTTTTGTCTGATCATAAAACAAATTCAAGCGCACCCCCCCGGAAAAAAGTCAAACCACACTTTGTAATCATTTCAAAGGAACAAAAACAAAGGATCCTCAAAATTTAAAATTGACATTTAAAGACTAAGGTTGTTTACTCATTTTAGGCAAAATAAAAAAACACAAACATGCACACACAAAGTCATGGGCATGATTTCAATGTTTCAAATAAAAAACATTACTATGTTCTGTAAAAGTTAAACGTTCATTTATAATAATCATAAGATCAGTTGTACATAATAAAATTTAGTGATAAATTTTTCATTTTCAGACTCATGGCTAAAATTGTTACTAATATCTGTCACTTTAATACATTTAAAATAATGTTTTCGATAATTTACCATTAAGCTTTTTTTACTTATAATTGAAATACCATTCTTGTTTTTGATCTTTTGATTCTTCTCTTTTAAAATCACTTTATTTCTAACTAAGACACATACCCTTTTTTTTTTTGCGATGATCCATAACATTCTTCAAAGGTTAAATTTGATATCCTTCTTTATTACTATCTCACTAAATAGCCTCAATGTATATCTTTCTTCTTTGAGTAAGAATTAGTTTGACATTCAATTTGATCTTAAATATAAGATCTCAATTTACTTCATTTATGATATTTAGCCATTTTTTCTAAAGTAGTTATTATAGTAACTTCACATGCTATAAGTTTCATAAAATAATAGTTCTAATTAATACATATGATTAATAATGATATTTTGGCAAAAGATACATATTTATTACAAATAACTTAACAAATTTTTTTAATCAATTCAAATTAGTCAACTAACTCTTATATTAAAGATCAGAGATAATATTTTTTAATTGAACCAATAGTTTATGACATGAAAGCTCTTCTATAAATAAGAAATCGCAAGCTGGATGAGCCTGTATATCAAGTCATTAATGCTTGCCCTCTAGTTAAAATCCAATTGACATTATAAAATCTAAGGTCTTAAAATCCAATTGACATTATAAAATCTAAGGTCGTGCTTAGTATGTCAATTTTTTTTCAACACCACAATTAATTTAAACATTTATACAAACACCGGAGCATGTCGAATCTAACCTCAGGGCCTCATGATTAGTAGTGTTTAGACATGATGGTATCCTTGTCAAAGCCAATGGCGCACTAAATTACATGGCGCCAGCAATTAAAGCTTGCTTGCCAAACCAAACATATCTTAAGATTATGGTTTTTTGCTAAATCACGTCAAGCAACATACCCCACAGCAACACATGGCAAAGATTCATTAATTTGGAACATCTAAGACCATTTATTCTCTTTCAACTTAACCTTAACATTAACTCACAAATTAATTGGTGTTTTCTTTTTTACAAAATCATTTTTCATATAATTTTTGGAGTATATATCCTTACTAATCAAGTATTATACTACCTCCGGTCTTAATTATAAGAGCCAGTTAACTAATTTGAGGAGATTAAGGAAATAAGTTGAGTTAGTTATCTGTCCTAAATAGGTATTGTATTTCCTAAAATATCCTTACCAATCAAATGTATTAACTAAAACTATAATTATTAGAAGGATTATCTTGAAAAAAAATTGAGTAAATATGATAAACAAAGTAGATTGGGGTCTTATATTTAGGACTAAAATAAAAGTCAAATAGGATCTTATATTAAGGATCAGAATTAGTATAACCCATATAATCTAAAATTAAATTTTCCCTAAAAAAAATATACAAAGTATTACACAACTCTGGTGCATATCATGGGTTGGCATATGGGGGAAGAGAGCAAGATTCAACTTATAATACTCCTCCGGTCTTTAATGTAAGACCCATTTAATTAATTTGATTAGATTAAGGAAGTTAGGTAAGTTAGTTAATTATAAGAAAAGTGACACATTTTTCCTAAAACACTATAATCATCTTTGTTAATACCCCATCTCCCTCTTCCACTTGATTATGGTTAAGATAGTATTTATAGGGGTAATTTAGAGAAAATTGATAAATATAAAAAATAGGTCTTACATTTAAAATCAAAATCAACTCAAAAATTGGATCCTATATTAAGGATCGGAGGAGTATTATATTCAAATCCAATTATTGAAAATCATTTCTCATCACACAAACTTTCCTGTAACTTTCAATCCAACTTCGAAGAAAAGTGACAGCAAACTAACCATTTAAGTCTCAAATCATTAGGGCTTTCTAGCGCGTCATCAATATATTTTATTTCCAACTATATACCTTCCACAATATTTGTACGCCTTCGTACAACAATCGAAGGCAGGATTCTGCTCTTCATTCTTAATCTATTTATGGTATTTTATATAATTTGTTTTAAAAATTATTCCAGAATGTGTATGAATATTTATACTTTTGGGTGGTCCTTAACTTATAAATAGGAATATAATGGTATATTGGTAGACATATGCATACGATAAGTCAAATTTAAAATTGCCAAATTAAAAGCTCTTCAAATACAAATTTCCCCCGTAATTTCAAAATTTTCATCCTTATTTTCTTACTATTTAAATATAAAAAGAAAAAGAAACGTTCCCATTGAATTCTACTCAGCTTTCTTGATTTAATTAAGTAGTAGTTAATTTTTTTATTTCAACTACTAGTTAATTTTTTATGTCAATTATTACATCTAGTCCTTAATATAACACTTAATTTGATTTTAATTTAATTCTAAATATAATACCTCAATCTATTTTACTTTTTTTTGGTCAAAAAAAATCTATTTTACTTTCATATTTATCTATTTTTTAAAGTAGTTTTGTAGTAATTACACATATTAAATATTTAATTAAATGGTAGTTTTAGTTAATACACATAATTAGTAAAAATATTTTTAAAAAATACCTACATAGTATAAATAAATAATTTAATTAATTTTTTAATCTATTCAAATTAGATAATTAAGTAGATTTTATGTTAAGAAAGTTAATTTACTCATTGTTACAGGGGCAAAAAAAAAAAAGTTAATTTAATCATTCCGGGCCCACCCTTGGATATGGACCCCTTTAAATACCTGTACTTCCCTTCCCTCTCATCGTCCCATACAAGTTGTAGAAACGCCTTCTCTCCTCCCTCTCTCTCAAGTCTCAGCAAACACTCACACTCGCACTGTAACAGAATGGAAATGGCGGACAATGCGGCGGCGCTGGCGGCGGCGGCGGCAAGCAAGCTGTGGAACATTGTACGTGTAGTGGTGTTCATGTTGAAAAAGGGAATAGCCAAGAGGAAAATAAAGATCAATCTCAGTTTATTGGTGAAACGGGGGAAGATCGCCGTCAGCAAGGCCGTCGCCGGCGGCATCAAACTCCACCATCATTACGCAGCATTAACCTGCCGATCTCACGACTCTTACCTCTCCTTTATCTCTCCCAGCGACTACGAGTTCAGCTGCAACAACAGCCCCGCCCTCCCCTTTCGCGCCATGGCAAACAACAAACGCAAGCACAAGCCCTACAACCACGACGACGTTTCCGCATTCAATGCCTTCCGGAAGCTTCTTGTCGATAATCTCGAGGTGGCGAATTCGCCGTCTGCGACTTTGCCTTGGTTCGGCCAGAGGCCTGCCGGGAGGCAACTCAGAATCACCGATTCGCCTTTCCCCCTGAAAGACGACGACGAGGATGGAGATGGACAAGTCGACAAGGCAGCTGAAGAATTCATCAACAGGTTCTACAAAGACCTGAATTTACAGAAAAGAATGGCTGCTTCCGATTCACCTAACAATAACATATGGGAGAGATGAAACATAGCTATGTATTCATCCAACGTACAACTTGGTTATTTTCTTTATTTCTTAGTTTAGTGTGTTGATTTTATCTTCGTTTAAATGGTCACACTGTAACTTTGGTGCTCTTCTTCTTCCCGTAATTTTCCCCCATTTTGACTGCTCTGCTTTCTTTTTCATGTTGCTGTATTGAAACTTTGAAAGTCCCGTTTTCTCTACTGAAACGTATATTTCTCTGGATTCACGTGTTTCTCTATATTTCAATAACTTCTCGGGAAGATTGAAGCATAAGTTTCTTAATTTATCTCACAAGCAGCTTCATTTTGCGCAGCACGTTGGTTTGATATCATCCTATTTCCTCTATTTCAACTCCTCTGTTTTTCCCCTTTCTTTCTTATGTGTTTGCGACTTGTTTCATACTGATCATAAAAGGGCAAAAAGTAGTGCAAAAAAAAAAAAAAAAAAACAGAAGTGAGAGGAAGAAGAAGGAAGAGGAACCGTGGCTGGTGGGATGGGAATTAAAGCAAGAGGTGTTGATGTTCTGCTGAGTACTATGCAACTTCGGTTGAGGAGGACTGTGTGAGTTGGGGCCTTGGCAATATTTTCTGTGTCCTCTTTCTTTATTCTGTTCTCCTTCTTGTCTCTTAATTGCAAAGGGTGGATAATCTAGTAGTTCTGGTTCACTCGGCACGTATTTAGAATGGTATATAAATAATTTTTTAATCATAATTTACAAAATATAAAATAAATATGTAAATAAATAATTTAACAATTTTTTTAAAATTTATTTAAATTAGTTAATTAGTTTTTATATTAATTATGGGAGGTTGTATTTTATCATTGGACAAGGGTCGTATGTTTCTCCTGGTGCATTTACTCTCACACTCCACACGTCATTGGATAGTCATGGATCATAGTTGTACCCATGAGCCTGGTTAGTTACGTGCAAAAGCTAAATTCCGCTGCATTTACTGCAAACACCAACAATACACGGTTGCATACTTGCATTTCAGTTTTGAGTTGGGGACCTGGCAGAGAAAACGAACTAGTACTTTTGGAAGCACCCGAAGGTAAAAATATTTTTTCACAGAAAAATTCCTTCATATATTTATTTCATAAATCATAAAAGTATTTTTAAATTATAGTTTTGATTATATCCAAACACTATCTTGATCTTAAATATAAAATTTTATTAACCGTTTTTGACGTGGCTCTTAACAATTAATACTACCGGTCCTATTTATAAGACCTTATTTGTAGACTACAAGCAATGTCTTATAATTAGGATCAGAGGTAGAATGTTGGCAAAGCAAAGTGTTTAATATAAGAATTCATTTGTTTTTATTTATGATATTAAATACTTTTTTTGTTCTATTTATAAGATACTTCTAATATAAATTGTATTAATTTTTTATTAAAATATAATACATTTTCAGTTTTATCCCTGTTTAAAACATCTACACCTTTCAAACAAATAACTATCTACAATACTCCCTCCGTTTCTTATTATAAGAGACAAATAACCGAAGTGCGTTGATCAAAAAAATAGTTAAAATTAGTTAAGAACAATTAATGTGTAAAAAGTATAATTTTTTTCCAAAAATGCCCTCATTAATAAGGAGAGAGAGCATGAAAGAGAACAATTAAATTATTAAAAGAAAGAGAAGTGGAAAGGAGAGAGAGTGTGAGTTGGAGATAATAAATATGGGTAAAATAGGAAATCAACACAAAAAAGTATAGACAACTTTTAAGTGTCTCTTATATATAGGAACATGCCATAAGCATCAAATGTCTCTTATAATAAGGAACGGAGGGAGTATAATAAATGAAGGATAAAATGACACATTTATACTAAAAATTTAATGGAGTGACTTATAAATAAGATCAAGAAAAACCTTCTCTTTCTATCTTATAAATAGGAATAGAGGAGTATTGTTTTAAAGATAGATCCTTATTTAATGCACTACCTCCGATTCTTAGTATAAAAATTAGTTTAACTTTTAATTTGGTCATAAATATAACACTTCAGTCCATTTTTTTTGTCATATATATTCATTTTTTCAAAGTAATTCTTGTAGTAATTATATATGTTAAAATTTTTATCAAGTGATAGTTTTAACTAATACATATGATTAATAAAGATATTTTAAAAAAGATAATATTTATTTATTATAAATAACTAACTTAAAAAACTTATTTAATATACGTAAATTAGTCAATTGATTTGTATATTAAGGACTGGAGGTAGTATTCCTGTAGTCCTAAATAGAAGATCATTTTAATAGTATAAATTACATTATAAAAGAGGTTTTATGTTTAGGATAGGAAGAGTATTATTTTTTTTTCAAATTTAAATAAATGAAAGTTAATGTCCAATAAATGAAAGATGTATTTCAAGAAAATTATCAAAAATTGTTTCTCGTTAATTATGAAAAAACTGATATAACTTTTTCTTAATTTTTATAAATTAGGTAAATAGGTTCTGGAGTAATAAGAGTAGCTGGGACAGTCTTAAATACGCTGGTACACTAGTGACATGCAATGAGCGCACAGTCCCTCTCAATCACTCACTGAAATTAATCCATCTGTCTTCTTCGTAATAAAGTTCTTTTTTTTTTTGTTTTTTTTTTTGGGGGAAATCTAAGTTTCTAATTACTTCTCTACGGTCAAGGTTAAAAAGAAAATTAGTTTTCTGGGGGCAGGAAAAAGGGAAGAGAAAACCCAATGCATGTATTTGAAGTGGTTTTCTTTTAGATAGAAAAAGGAAAAGTTAATTTATTAGTTTTATAATTTTCATTTTGTTATAACTTAATTTTTAAATTTTAATTTGATGCAACTCAATCATCATAATTTTAACTCAGTTTTTGAATTTTAATTTGATATGACTTAGTTCTTAGTTCTTGTAGTTAATTTTTTTAAAAATTATTCCCTATGTTTTTCAAAAAAAGATCATATATTTTATGGAGTTTATATAATGAAATTTTAAATGGTTAAAACTAAAAAGATGGAGTTGTAATGAGTCACAATTTAAGAATTAAGTTATAATCAAGTCATGATTATAAGAATTGACCGGCCCCGAATTAAAATTTGGAGAATGTGTTACAACCGAGTCAAAATAGGAACCAAATGACTAATCTTGCTTAAAAGAATAACATGCATGAATTATTTGGAAAAATATAAAAAATAAATATGTATAGAATGCAATTCAGCATTTTGTTTTGATGGAAAATACCATATTCTTTTCCTCAAAAATGGTATAAATATGTTTCATTTGTAACACTATGTTGTGTATTTAAATTTATATATTGACATCTAATTCTTTTTTGGTTATGTGCATATCACATCAATAATATAACATGCTCCCTCCCTTTTTTTTTTTGAGTGGTCTCCCCCGGTATCCTAGGCCAATGCCATCTTTCAGGCTTTTCAACGGGCCCAGACTAATCCGGAGCGGCACCTATGAAGGATCCCCTAACGGATGGCTTGCCTACCACTTCACGCTACTGCGTTTCCAAGCGGGATCGAACCCCTGACTTTGGTTAAGCTAGAACGACCCCACAGCCAGTCGATCTAAACGTTTGGTGGTTACATGCTCCCTCCCTTTCTTTCTATAGTACTCCCTCTATTTCCTATTATAGAAGGCTTTCTATAAATTGTTTTTGGCCTTTTGAAAAGAGATATTTGATAGTTTTAAAGAATATTAAATATTTTTATATGACTTATATTTGAAATAAGAGGAAGTTCTAAGTTTTTTTTAGCTCTTATCCCTATTTATAGAACCCCTTTCATAATTGCAAGAAGTATTATAATTTTTTCTAAATATATTCCTAATAATAATTTTTTTAACTCCTAAAAGTTTTTTTTTGCCATAATTTATATATTCGGAGATTCAAACTCACGATCTCACACTTATACAAGTCTTACAGGAAGCATTTAGTGTCATTTGGGTTATAAGACGTAGCAAGCCTTAAGAATTATTTAACCAATAGCACATTTAATTAGGGGCAGATTTAATTATGAGTAGAATATTTGAAGGAAAAAATTCAACACGACCAACTTTCTTTCGGTCTATAAAAATATCTTTTATTCGTTACAATATCTTTCCCGCATGAAGAAAGAACCGCCGGAATCATTTTGTCTTCATAAACGCATGAAGGTAAAATCAGAAATGCAATTGAAAGTTTGAATGCATCAAAACTAAGTATGGATGTGGCCATGGTTTGCTTTCCCTTGCCATAGAAGGGGTTCAATCCACAGCTAGAAATCATCAACTTAGAAGGTATTTGGCAGTTCTCAAAAGTACTTCTTAGAAATATTTTTTTCACAAAACGAGATAAATTCCTTCACATATTTATTTCGTAAACTGTAAAAACACTTCTGAAACTATGATTTGGTTTTCATCCAAACATCCCATTAATTACTTGTTTGGAAAGTAAGTGTTTTTACATTTCACAAAACAAAACATATCTCGTATATTTATCTCATATGGTATAAAATCATTTAAAATAAGTTGATCCAAAACTTGTTATAATGAGAATTTGAAATTTGAAATGGGAATCACCACTAAGAAGTTGGTTACGAGTTTCATTTGTTTTGGTCAATATCTATCTAACATGTCTTTTGTTAACCATGTCATTGCTTCTAGGGTAGATGATATCTCAATTGGTTTAATAATCATTCATCTTTTCAAGTGTCTTGATAAATATTCAGCTGCTCATCACCTGAATAGTGAAAATTGTGAGAATTAAAATTAACGAATGATGTAAAATATAGAGAATGTATGCCTTTTCAAACAAGATCATTATATATATATATATATATATATATATAAAAGAAATAAACTTGCCATTATTATAATCAAACAATGATTACCGGCAGGATTTCTTTTTTTCTAGGCAAGTATATTCTTCTTCTATTAGAGGTCCTGTTCGATGATCAGATACTAAATACTACCTTCGCTCCTATTTATAAAAGTTAGTTGACTAATTTTAAGAGATTAAGAAAAAAAGTTAAGTTAG